TGCAGAGCACAGATAGCCGTTTGTGTAGCTTTGTGCTTAATAACAACAACAACAACAACAACTAACCGGTTTAATTAATGTCTACGTGCCAACACTGTAAAAATAAAACATTGGATATATTATAGCTCACAAATCACAATCACAATAAAAATTCCAAATAGCTATCGTGAATCATCCAAGAAATACAGAATTACAACAAGTTTAATAGATAACTAGAACTCCTTTGAAATGTCAAGCAAACTCGTCAACCAAACTTGTAACTTTACGATCACCGAAGTCCAATTATTAATAAGTTAGTATTTCATTTCTGTTACTAAATACTAATTACAAACTAGTTTCTATCTTACGTTTCGGTTGCTAACTGTTGACGAGTGGATCGCGTAGTTCCATCGTGTTACTATTTAAAATTATGTATATTATATAGTTTCTTCTTTGTGGGATACAGGTTGACCCCGTGTTCGAAGCTGGCAAGTCGGGTTTGTTTTTTGTACTTGTATTTGAATACGTGCGATACCACAAAATAGACTCCGTGCTATAGCCGTGAGTGCATTATAAGTGTGACAGTCAATCCCTTAGCATAGATGGTGGGTGGTTGGGTACTGCTGACAGATTGCCTTTCCTCTAGGTATTAATTCAAAATTAGGAACGATGGCAGATAGCCTTAGTAGCTTTGCCATAAGTATTGATTATTCTTCATTCAGCCATTGCTCGGCAGAGCTGAGTACAAAAATTGGGCCACGTATGCGCTATACATATTAAGTCATTCCTGTAACTATCCAATATCAAGGAAAAGTTTCTGTCTGTCTGTAGATACATATTCTCCTAAAACTAGTTGACCAATCCAGAACAAACTTGGTATGCTAATTTAATAGTCCAAAGGCAAACTACATTTATATAAACTTCCCATATATTGAAAAATTAAAATATTTTATAGAATAAACTTTATATCGTTACTGCAGTAGTTATTGTAAATAGTTGAGTTTGAACAAAACTCGCACCACAATAAAATTCTACAAGTCAAAGGTTGTAAATAAAAATTTCAGCATTCCGGCTTGTTTCATATAATAACTAAAATAAACAGTAATAACATATCCAGCTACAATGTGTAACCGTATGTCAGCATCGAGATTTAGATCTCTGCAGATCTGGGAGGGTCAGGTTCGCCTGTACCTCTATCTCCCCCCTGAATTTGTTAGTTTACAGCTGGATATTCCTTTAATTATAACATGAGGATCAAATGTTATGCTATTGCATTTACTCTGGCCACTTTCAAGGCCATGTTCAAGAAAATATTGAATATGAGGAACACACTTTCTCTTGTTCGTTACTGCGTCACACACGCATCGTGAACATTTCCGGTTGCGTTTCACATATTTTTTTCATTAGTTTATTGCAAAAGCGTTGTACCTAAATACCCTTTTCAATGCTCTCTGAGTTAACTAAACTAAGGCTGTTATAGTCTTAGTTTAGGGTGGCTTTAATTTATATTTTATTTCTATTATAGAAATTAATTGGCGAGAGGTGCTTAGGGCTAATTTCATCCTGTATGTAAAAATGGTCTAATTCACAAAATAGGTCATTTTTATACGAATTATTTTGAGAAGTAATTTAGAGAAATATGTATGAGTCTATCAGACAATGTTTGTATGTTTGCATATTTATGTAGAGAGACTGACGATTTGGATCTTGGTACACCGTAGACTGCTGTAAGTACTGTATTCTCAATTGTTTGTAGCTTCCTAACGTGTATGTATTTTGTGTCAATCCAAGCTGGGTATACGTATTCTATGACTGGACAGAAGTATGTTTTGTATATCTTGAGTATATTGTCGGCTGATGTTCCATGGTTTTTGCATGTTACACACATTACGTAGTTCGTACGTTGCCAAACTTTTGCTTTTATGTTACAATGCTGAGAATAAAGGTATTGCTGCTGTTTAACTTTCCCATTCTTTCCTGATTCACGCCATTTAACTTCCAGTTTATACTATGGTTAGAACAAGCGCTAAAGCCTGGATTATAGAAGTATTTCATAATTAAAACATTTTTAGGATATTTCTTACTTCTTGGTGTAGAATATAGTTTTCTGTACAAGCAAAATTGAAGATAATTATTCAATTTCATGCATAAAATTTAGCAAATTCGGACAGTAGAAATCTTGACCACATTTCTACTGTGAAATGGGCTGTTACGAACAAGAAATGATGCAACTTCTTTAGCATTTCTGCCAAGTTTCTCGACTCGATTGCTACACCTCTTCACTTGCCATCCACTTCCTCTGTCTAACAACAATTTTCTTAGAGAATGAACGCTATTTTAAATCCTCGCAGAGATTTTGCTCATTTTTAGCAAATTTGTGCGTGTTTTCCGCAAAAAATGACGGAAGAGTGCAGTTTTCTTAAAAATAATCTGCAAAACATTTAAGGTAAAATAAAACACTTAAATGCATTATAAGAGCTTCAAAATGAAAGCCCATTATGGACTGAAAGTTCACTTTTACTTGTAGACTTTTACCAAGGGCAGAGCAGGGTATGCAATTTGTAGCTCAAAAAAATTAGTCAAGTTGAACATCTACTTAATTTATCTCACTTGATAA